TGGTCAATGATCATGAAATGCCTCAATCTCTTTCAGCAGTAGACTATGCAGAAGTGCCATATTATATGATTGATAGAAACCTGGTAACTGAACAAGCAGAAAGCTTCTCTCTTTTTGATCTCTCTAACTTTGAAATGGTAGGGGGGACATCTGGTTGTAATAAAATCAATAAGGTTTCAGCCATTATTGAGAAAGAAAAGTACTCTTGTTTTGATGAAAGCTCAGAAAGACTTCCTGCTCCATTGGAGGAGGGTATACTTGAAAAAAATTTGGTAACTGATGAAAGCCCAGAAAGACCTCAAAATTTATTGGAAGAAAGCAGAATTGATAAAGATCCAGTTGCTGGAGTTAAAGCAGACAGGCAAGCTCCTTTTGATGGATCTGCTTGCAAAATGTCTCAGGAAATATGGGTTACTGAAGATACATGCAAAATACCTAAGACCACAGATTCCTGTTGCGTGAATACACCTATGCAAACTCAGAAGGCTTTCTTAGTGGATCCTGGGAAAAATGAGAGAAGGAATCTGGGAACATCAAATGGGGCTATCAGTAAGTATTTTTATTTGGATGAAAGAAACTGCATGCGTCTTCATTTTCTATCACTTCTATATGTTTCTTATAGTATATCCTGAGCATCTTTTACTGCTGTGGTTTCATTATCGTAGTTCTTTTCATCCCTGAATTGGTCATTGTACATTGTTTCAATAGATCAAGAGTCAGGAAAATTTTCGCAGATAGAACCTCAAGTGGAGCGTACTCCCTTTGTTGGATGTAGTGGAAGTTTCAAGCAGATTAGCACTAAAATGTCTGGGTGCTCTGACTATCCAGTTACAGTAGCAGGTAAAAACATGCCAATGTACCAACTGAAAAAAGAAAAGAAAAGAAACAACTAATCTGTTTCATTTTGTGGTTACTTTTTTTTTTTTTCTGTGTGCTTTTTGAGGAGCTGCCTTCTGTCATGACTCGTGATAGGTTTAGCATAGAGGGTAAAAGCATGCCAATCAGGTTCTATTTAGATTTTCCTTTTTTTTTTCTCGTTTTTTATTGGTAACAAGCTCATTTCTTTACCATATCAAATGTAAAAGGATTACAAAGATGGAATATGACAAGGTCTCCCACCAAAAGAACTCCTATACATAGGCTTCACTAAGAACAAAAACACACACTATACTTGGTCTCAATTGCATATATTTGCTATTGATGAACATGGAAGGAACTTTCAAAGTTACAAATAGAAGAACATGTGGAAATGACTAAAGATGTTCATGGTTTATTCTTTTCTTTTCATTTTATCTTATTTCTGTGCTTCTATCTTTTCATTCTATCTTATTTCATTTTACTTTGTACAAATTTCTTGATATTATCTAATTAACATCTCTCTCTCTTGCCCGGTAAAACTTGTTGTGCTCAGCAGCAAAGGAATTCAAGGTCATCAAAGAAGAATTTGAAGAGAAGGCACATCCCAATTTAAAAGATCAATCAAATGATTCCAAAGTGGTGACAATGGAAAGTGTGGATTCAGTTGGCCAGCCATCACCAAACCTAGTCAATTTCTGCTTTACAGTGTCAGCAGTCACACAATCTTGGCTTGTATGTACTCTGTAAATTTATTCCTTTCTTTCTTTGTGTATTGCTAGGGAGGGGCCATTGCTCGGTGAAATGGTAAAATCTTGGGCTAATGAGCTTGAGAATGGTGGTTTGAATCTTAGATTATACATCTTACAAAAACAGTGTAACCATCACCCAGGTTTTAGTCTTTTGCTTAGGTGACGGTGGAATTCTGTTGCCTCATCTTGCCTTGCTGCCTTAATGACTATGACCATCCCCACAATGTTTTAGTCTTTTGGTTTCCTTGTACTGTATGTTGGTGGTGTTCTACTTATTAAATTTACCCATATTGTTTCTTGAGGATGATAGAAGAGTTTAAGAAGTAGAAAGTTTATTGGTTTCTCCATTTTCAGGAAAGGAAAAAGAAAAATTTGAGGAACCAAATGATATCCTGGGGAGACCTAAAATCCTGTCTTTCATGTCCATCTTGCATACCCTTCTTGGTCAGTAGGTATGCAATAAATGGGCCCCTAGGGCATCTTTTGAGTAAAGAAGGAATCTGTCTGATCAGATCATTTAACCAACTTATGTCATTCTTTTGGTTGTTCAGAATGTGGTGATTATTCCAGAAAGAAATTGAAATGGATGGTTATAATAATGATTAATGAGTCATGGATTTTGTTACTGGCAATGTCTCTTAAGCTAGGGTGATTTGAACATATTGGAACTGGAGCAAGTTCTATCTTCTCTACTTATTGGGCTGTACCAGTTACTATTTACCAACACATCAGCTTGATGTTACTTTTGCAACGGTTGTGCAGGAGTTGCCCACAGAGATGGAGGCACTTGCTCGCAGTTATAGAGGAAGGGCTAGATCAGAAAGGAAGATAATCCTCCTCCGTGATTCGGCCATGAGATTGTGGCCTGTTCTTTACCATGAAAGATCTGGATTCAAAGTCTTGACAAGTGGGTGGGAAGCTTTTGCCCAGGCAAACAACGTCCAGCAAGGAGATATCTGTGTTTTTGGATTTGAAAATAAATCAGAAGATTTGTTCCAAGTACGCATTGCAAAAAAGTAAGACAAACTCCAACAGTTGGAAGGGTCCTTTTTTTTTATCAATAACAATGGATTTTATTAATAGTTTGGAAAACCAGAATTTCAAGGTAAGGAGCTAAAGAATCTTAACTCCCAAATACCCTATAAGCCCCAAACCATGGAGCAATTACAAAACAGCCCAAAACATAGAGTTTCTGTTCACCCCTTGCCTAGCTAGACCATCTGCCAGTGCATTAGCACTTCTCACTATCTATGTACAACGAATTTCAATATCCTTGGTGAGCCACTTGAACTTCCTCTTTTCATTGCTGTATTTCCAGAGCATAGAACTGTCATCTTTTAGCCAATTCACTACAATTTCAGAATCACCTTCTATGATCAATTTTTTAAAGTTCATTTCCTTGGCCCTTTGTATCCCTTCAAGAGCTCCTAGGATCTCAGCCCTCAAGGAATCTCCCACCCCAATTGGGCCAGAATACATAGCTAATAGATTCCCTTTTTCATCTCTTATCACTCCCCCCACTCCGGAGGGCCTTGGATTACCCATGCTTTTGCCATCAAAATTCAGTTTGGTAAACCCATGAGGTGGAGGTGTCCAACAGGAATTTGAGGTCTTCTTGATTGAGCCTAACTCTGCAATCTCCTTCCACTTTTTGGTCATCTCATCAATTGAGAACACTGCAAACAATTCCAAGGTTTTCAACCAGTGAATCACCCTAATGTGGATATTCTCCAGGATTACTTCAAAACTTCTCTCCTTATTTGAAAATACCCTTGAATTTCTCTCCTCCCAAATAATCCAACACACTGCAGCCCTACCACATCTCCACATGATCTTAGCCCTTTTGGTTAACCGGTTAGGCATGGAAGTAAATAAGCTTTGCACATTCGAAGGGGGAGTTCACTTGCACCCAAACAAAGAAGTAAACCATTCCCAAATGACTTTAACAAACTGGCAAGGAATTAATAAGTGATATCCAGACTCACCATCCAGATTTACAAAGGCCACACCAGTGAGGAGACAAACAACTATTGGGTCTTTTTCTTTGAAGTAGATCCCCTGTATTAACTCTTTCCTAGAAGGCTTCTCAACATAAGCACTGTATAGGTCGACACCACACTTCTTTAACAGGAAAAGACAGTCCAACAGGAGAAGGGGGTAAAAGAGCCTTGAAGAAAGAGAACCTGAGGGAGTGAGTGTCTATATTCTACTATCTGACTTCGATGGCTCAATGAAGACATCTTCAAGAATGGATAGTAAGGCTAAAATGCAGGCTAACTCTGTGTCCCTGACATCTCTTCTCAAGTTCAAATTCCAACCAAACCCAGAAGGTGAATTAGAAGGTACAAGGAAAGAGGAAATTGGTTCATTTTTAAGGGTAGAAATAACAAAGAGGCCTGAAAATTGATCTTTCAAAGAGGAGTCCCCAACCTACACATGTTCCCAAAATTTAATGAGATTACCTGAGTGTAAATCATACTTGACCCATGGATAGAACAAGGGAAAAATGGCTTGAATAGCTTTCCAAGGAGAAGCTCTTGTAGTCCTTGCTAGAATCCCAGAGTCCCCCCATCCATTGTCTATGCCAGCCCATGTATACTTCCCACTATCTTAACCCACAGTCTTTCTTTCTCAAATGAGAATCTCTACAACCATTTCCCTGATAGTGCTAAGTTCCTAATCCGTATATTCCCAATTCCTAAACCCCCATCCTTCTTACATCTACATACCACCTCCCACCTCCCACTTGACCTTATGGTCCTTCTCTTCCCCTGACTCTCAAAGAAAGTCTCTCATTAGTTTTTCCAGTCTGCTAGCCACCTTAGCCGGAATCTTAAAGACTTATAGGAAATAGATAGGAAGGTTGGCAAGAGTAGACCTAATCAAAGTGATCCTCCTTTCAAGAGATAAATAACTCTTCTTCCAATTGGCAAGTCTTTTTTCAAACCTCTCCACAACAGGGGCCCAAAATTCACATTTCTGAGGATTATCTCCCAATGGTAAACCAAGGTAGTTTAAGGGCCAATTAGATACTACACACCCCAGAGTGTCTGCACACTCACAAACCTCCCCCTCGCCCATATTGACTCCAATTATACAACTCTTCTCAAAGTTTACTCTAAGGTTTGACATTTGCTCAAAAAGTTGTATAGTGAACTTCAGTTTTTTAATCCTATTGCTCAAAAAGTTGGAAGGGTCCTTTGCAGTCTACAAAATATGTATAATTTTACTGTTTCAGAAAGAAGTCCAAATACCACAAGTTTCTCTTCATAAAACACTAGTGAGTTGCTGCAAGTTTTGCTTGGAAACAGAGTTTTGTATCTAACTATCAAATTGCTTCCATGTACAGTTTGGGTTTTAGAAAACTTTACCATGCTTATATTTGTAAACTAATCATGGTCTTCGTGGAAGCTATATAAATCCTTTTAACTGCATCCATTTGTTTGTTTGTTTTTTTTTTCCTTTTTAGATCCGGGATACAGATTACTCAAGGGGAAGTGAATGGTTGGAAGAATAAATGATACTAGGAGTCTGGGAGAGAGGTTCAACCTCTGTTCATTGCCGGGGTGATCCCAGGAAGAATCTTCCACTGGAAATATTCCACCTAAGAGATTGCTGTGTTTGGTTGTCCAATCAAAATATCAAGGGATTTTTGGATTGCAATCCCCCTATTTCTGAATTGCAGCCCCCAAGTATTATCAAATATGAGAGGCCTAGGCCGGGCCTAGTTGCATACAAAATTACAAGCACTCGCACACGCATACAGTCACACAGTGGGAGAGATCAAATCAGATTAGTCTACGGAGGAAAGTTGACAAAACGATTTTTTGTATTATATGTATTTATATATTTATTATATACATGGGTGGCTATTGTTTATGTTATGTGACGTTAACTTGCTCCACACGGACAGGGGCCAAGGAAAAAAACCTTGTTAGCCAAGCATCCCAATCTGATTTCATTTCAAAGGAGAAAAAGCTATAAAGGGGAGGGAAAGAGAGAGTTAACTCTCATCTCGGTAATCCTTTCAGAAACAGAAATCCATTAGCCTCCAAGACAAAGGTAGAAAGATGAAGAGAGAAGGTCGTCAACATGGGATGGTTAGGTGCTACATGGTCTTGCCATCACCGTATAACCCAAGGCCCAATTCCAGGATTATCAACAAACTCGAGTCACCTCCGACCGCCGGGATATACACCAAGGTGTCATCGAAGCCGACCAATCACTCGAAATTCACAGGTAAATGTGGTCGACCAAAGTGTGATGGGTGCCACATCCATCCTGCTTGCAAATCCAGAGTCAAGGCTAAGGGGACCCAGAAGCTCAGGTCGTGCGACGTGGTGACGGATCACCGATTGGTTGCTTGGCGAGTGGTAGATAACAGGGGATGGGAACTGAAATGTGCCGGAGTATCTGCAACAGAAATTCTGAATCATTTGTCAAATGATCTCTGGGACGATGATGGGGAAGTGGAAGACTATGCTGGCGACGTCGAAGAACAGCAAGAGATTCCGATGAGGGAAATTGAAGAAGTCAATAATGGGGTTGAAGATGACGACGACGATTGTATGAGCTTTTGTGATGTTGGGTTTGTGTTAGAACAGGTAGAAGATGGTGACGAGGGCTGGTGTTTAGTGGGCGAGATCTGAATTCTGAAGGAGTGTTGGATTGTAAATCCCAGCTTTCAAATTCAATCGTCCATATCAATAAAAGTGGTCGGATATAGAGGGAAGGATCAAAGGAGGGTGGGTGGTGATCTGATTATTTGTTTGATCCCAATCTCTCTCTCTCTCAATCTAATTGTTCATGGTGGCAAATTCTTCTCTGTATAATTGTATTATTGATTTGGAAATTATTGAAGGACAGAATATGATGAATAGGTGATGCGTCGTCATTTGTTTATATTTATGTGTATAGAAATGGTTCTCTTCTCTATGCCGACTACATCAAGCATATCCGTTGGTCTTCTACTTTGCTGAAGTCCGCACGTCTTAGCAGTTAGCACCCACAATCCACTTAACAACAAATTTACACGTTATTGTAAGGCTGTAGTGGTTTGAAGCTGGCTGCAACAAATGCCAACTACCAAGGAATATTCGCAGAGGTCGTAACTAGCGACGTCCTCGTTTCTCTAGTTCTTCTATCCAACGGACAAGGCTGTCTTCGTTAACCTCTCTCAAATTATATTTATTTTGAAATTGGCAAAAATTATTTTAATTCATAATTTATTAAATTCAGATTTACTATCTTAAAAATCTGGTTACTACGATGGAAAGCTTTGTTCCTTCCACGGTATTTTTTCTTTTCAATTGATTTTACTTATCCTTATGATACTTCACCGGAAAAAAAATGATTTGGGCACATCAAATAGGGTTGATAGGTATATATAATATACCACAGGTGATTAAAGCTTTTCTGGTATCATATATTTTTTTCTTTTAGGGTTCTTTTGGTTTGTGGGAATAGGAGTCAATTATTTGATTACTATTTTAATTCGTGATAGAATTGGTATTTCTTCATTTGAGCCAATGTCCGTCCATTCCAATTAATTTTATTTCTCATTTTAATTTCTATTTGAATCAAGCAGAATATGAGAATAGCCCATTCCAATTCCAATTGGATGGATTTCAATTTTAACAGACCCTTAATTTGATACTAGTTGATTTAATTTGATATAAACATACCACATTTTATATATGATACATTTGTTTATATGCATGGATATTGATAAAATCATCAAGTAAACATATCCAAGTAATATAAATAGTTCCAAATTTAGGTCCGTTTTTTCCCTATATAAATAAAAAAAATGACCATTTTTATTATAAAAAACCATTATTAAAAAGGATAATTTTGTCATATCCAAGTGTTATGCAACTTTACCCTCAAGTGGAGGAGATGAATATCACTTATTCGGAGAAAATAGATTTTCCATAAACTCTACATAAATATAAATAAAAGAATATGAACATCTTGATCAATGAGAACCCAAATTCCATTGCCCCTCTTAGAATCCAAAAGAAAAAAAAACCCTTAATTGCTTTATATTAGAAATTGAATAGGATCTTATATAACATTCGAATGGAATTTGGTTTGCAAGATAAAAATAAAATAATTAAAATATTATATATTATTAATAAAATAAACTAAAAATGGTTTTAATATTCTATTTGATGAACAAAATGAATTGAAAATTATTTATATAAAGTTTAAACTTATGACAATTTAATAAAATTACAACATTCAGATAATTTTTACTGATATACAAAATATAAATTTTAAAGTACATATGAACATAAATGCCCAAATTATCCTTTTGGATGACCCTCTTGGTCTTGGTGGCGGGAACACAATGAAGGCTCACGAATTCAGTTTTTACTGCAATCTGGCTTTATGGGTAATCGATCTTAATTCTTTGATTGTATTCTAATTGTCTAGTTACTTCGTTGTTTGTCTTTCTCTTTTGTTTTTCTTTTCCTGATCATCCAATGACCTCTTTTAGGGCTTTGATTTATTCATCTACCAGGTTTCTTTTCTTGAAATTCAGTTTTATTTGAAGTGATCCTTTTGATAACGGGCTCCTTACTGCAAACTTGATTTTGGACATGGAGGATTATCATAAGCTTTCTCTTGGCACAATCGTGGCTTGTTGGAAGTTGGAATGCTTGCGGGCTTAATCGGATTTGCCCAAATATGCTCAACCCACTGAAAATTGAATTGAATTACCTAGTCCAGATAAAAGCTCCATATAAATCACAAATCAATTTTCCTTAGTTGTTTTGATATCTCTCCGTCTTTTCAGAGTTAGTCTCAAATAATTTGTCTGCTTGCATTTCCTACAAATTAAGAATCAACTGATCCCTTTCCTCGTGGAGTTTAATTTCCTGGAAACTCCAAACGGGGTTTCAATAGTGATGAATCAATTTTTGTTGATGTATCGCTTTTTTGGCTAAGTACCTCGTCATTTGGTCTTCTTCCAAGTGGCCGATGATTCAAGCCGAAGTGAAGAACTTTGGCTGCCTAGTTGCCTGTGAGGTGTTGGGCTGACCAGGTGGCGAGCTAAATTGATGAGCTTCGTTGCTCTTTAGAGACCTGCAAGGAACCAAATGTCAGAGGACCTGGGGTGACTAACCCGGTGAGGTCGCTCCGATGCTTAAGTTAGTACTCTCATACTAAATTGCGAGCTAAAAATCACAAAGTCTGAGAGCTAGAACTTGCTTACTTGCTTTCTTGCCTCCCCCTTTGCTTTTGGGTTGGTGCCTTTATATAGGCATTGTTTGGCGTGGGCTTCACGCACCATATCCGAAATTTCTGCGAGGTCGTCTAAGTGGGTCGAGATTCCTGGAGGTAACCGCCATGCACGTTGACCACCCTCCAGATCGTTCAGCACGTGGGCCAACTTCCAAGGATCGTGGGAGTGTTTGGATATGCATGCCGAATTCGTCAGCGAGCACGTCTTGCAAGTCGCCAGGTCGCGCTTGTGCCAGGCTACCAGGTCGCGCCTGGGCCAGGCTACCAGGTTGGTGCCTGTGCTAGGCTGCCAGGTCACACCAGGGCCAGGCCGCGCCAGGGCCAGGCAGCT